ATGCAACCTTAAATTGCTCCTGCTTATATTATTATTATTATTTCATTTACAATAATCATAAAAAGGATTCAGCTAATACCTTCTGCCTAGGTAAAATGACAGAAATAGAGGAAGAAAAAGTAACGAAAAAGAAATGAATAGACACACTTTCAGTTGCTGCCTCTTGTCTCTCATATGTACTACTAAAAGGTTTAAGTTAATTTTCCACATTTTTCCTCTCTTGCTTGCCCTAGTCTACCTTCAAATTTTTGTCTTTCACTCTGTGGTTTATTGATTTAGAAGATTTCCACTGACTGCAAACGTTCCATTCTCAATCGATTTTATTGTCAGTTAGAATATGTCTCCCTACATTCAGTTAAAATACTCATTATAAAAATTCAGTATGAGACGGAGTGCAAAATGACAAAACTGAGTAGACTGGCATAATCCTTTATGTGATTTTTTCACATGCAAAGCAAAGTAAATCGGGTATATACATGTAACTGTCATTAAGACAAAAAAACAACAGCAACAATGATAACCAGTATCTTATTGTCCTGTTTTTAGGACTGAATTCTTATTGATCAGCCTTCATGATAAAACTCGGAGAAAAAAATGAGTAGATCAAAACTGTGACAGGAAATACATCATTGTAATATGCTTTGGAACACCCAAAATCTAGATTCTGAACTTATGTCGATGATTTTTAAACCAAACAGCTTTAAATACATCACATAGAGATTCGCTTTTAGCGTAGATAGCACAGTGGTAGATCTCCGGACGACGTACTCCTTCATTTCGTTAAGTCGGTTATAAGACTGGTATGGAGGGAAGGTTGGGAATGAGGCCAGCAACCCCATCCCATGAAAATAAACATTACTACTTCTAAGACTCCAAAGCTGTAGCTTAAATCCCAATGTTCTGCTAGGAACATAAAGGAATAAAAATGTTTGGCTGGTTTGTTGCTGGGGTTTATTGTTTCTAAATCTTTCATAAAGTTCTGGAACATTCCCACCCATTTATTAAGTAATTTTACTAATTTAACCTTTGATCTGAAATGTTCCTAGGATAATACTACAGCTCATTTACCTTATTTTATTCTGTATCCAATCTGCGTGCTTATTACACTTTGTAATTTTATTATTTTGATCTTTCATAAAGATACTGTTGTCGAATTCAGTATTCTCCGAGGTAAAGTTGAACTATCATAGCCGAAATCACAGTGACCTTGAACAACAAATCAGAATTCAAGGCGAAAAGGCAGCATAATCCTTAAAAAAGTTCCAATAAACATTGCAAACATAATATTACAATGGATAAATGTCTCTGGTGTTGGGAGAACGCATCCCAGTTACTCCAGGAGTAATCCATAGGGAAATCATACAATGTGCAATGGATGCAGTCATGCAGATAACTCCAGATCTTAACCTTAACTCTAAGCCCTAAACTTAATCCTGAAAACCATAGCCCTGTCCATAACTGAGAGTATAGATTTACAGGAAGAAGTAAATAGGGAATAAGTAGACTACTGTAACTATCCCCACAAAATCCAAATACGCAGGCTTGATTTGATTTGGAATGACCATATACAGCGTTTCCTGTATCTGATAAGTTCTTGCAGGTCAAATTTCGACAAATCTTGACTGTCTTGGTATTAGATGGTTGGAGGCAGTTGGCCACAGGAAGCTTTGCTCGACCTAGGTTTCGTGCTAGTTGGCATTCACCAGTCAGAAAGGCGTATCTGCAACCGTTAAGGAATTCATATCCCTTCTGATACTCGAAGTCGCATCACCCTGTGTTGCAGTCAGCGGCATTACCATTGAGCAATTCAGACTGGCGATTGATCTCCTGTATGACTGTATTGGATACTTTGATTGGACAGGTTTCAGATACTCTTTGCTGACTGGTGAGGGCCAACTAGCATGAAACCAAGGTCACGCAAGGCTTTCTGTGGCCGATTGTCTCCAACTATCAAATAACAACAATTCAAAGTGCACCGTGGTAGCGAGCCACCGTGTGGTACATTGGCCACATTGCAAAATTGACTGATAGAATTCAGTCTTCACCAAAGATAGAACTAGACACACACATTACACCAGTTACTGACTAGTGTCCAATCAAAAAGGACCCTGAATTTGATCGTGGTAGTTTAACTTCACCTTCTTCCAAATTGTTTTTAGTTTTAATTTAATTGGAATATTTGTTTTAAAGAGAAATTTCAAATAAAGTAAGTAGGGACTAAAGTAAAAGAACACAAAAAAGGATGATTGCTTTGTGAACGAAGGTAGATGAAGGAGCATATAAACCATTAGATCAGAATATCCCACAAAGACTAGTAATGCATACCAGCACTTCTGCACTTTTGAACTGTTTGTCGTTCTTTACAAGTCTCTGTAAAGAAAATCAGACAGGTTAACTATTCATACTTTTTGCAATGTTACTTGTTTTACAGATAGAAGAAACAGCAGGGGATATTAACAAGTTTTAACATTATGCTAATCATGACAATTCAAATACCAATGTAATACCAACATCATTTAAACTTTGAAACCTATAGATAGTCTATCTAACGCACCACTACAACTTTTATAGATCAGTAAACTTCGTTCAATTTCTAAAATGTCTTCCTTTTTTTCAATTTGATGTCTTATTAAACTTTTTAATTTTTATTCTTTCTGTCGCATCAAATTTTGATAGGTAACTGTTTCACTGTCAACCAATAAAAAGAAACATCACAACTGTCTGCATAAAAAAACTTCACTTAAATACACAGTAAACGTTCATATTAAATTCAGCAGTAATCCGGTGTTCAGCGACGGCTTTCATTCAAGTGGTTTCTTCTAAATTCCTTATGATAATCCATGACCAAAAAGTTCCCGGTAGATTTGCCTGATTGTGAGGATAATTTTAATGATTGAAAATTGAAAATTTGAGTGATCCCATTTCGATTTAAGGATGGCATGAAGATATCTAATTTCATCTTGCTTATCCCCTGATTTCGAACCCTTCGCCAGTGCTATCTTACATTTACAATTTTCCTCTGGATAATTATGACACACGAGCAAGGTTCTTTTGAAAACTAGTTCAGACAATGTTTAATTTTTGAGAAAGAGTCTTATGTATTCCATATAATGTGAAAAGGAAACCTGCTTTTAATTTTTTATCTTATTCCTTTGCGCTTCCAGTGGAACGTAGGGCGGCTTCATGCTCGAGTTTTGAAGTTTCAGTGGCAGTGATTTTATTTTTCCGGGATGGGATCGCTAGTCTCACGCCCAAACTACCCTCTTAGCCAGGCTTATTACCAGCTAAGCAAGGTTTCGGAGTACGTCGGTTGGGGATCGAAAGCCTAACGACCTTAGTGACTGATGAGCATTCTGCCTCTGCACCACCAACGCCAAGGAGAGCTGAATACAAAATAATTTATCTAATAATCCTGCAAAACATTGTAAAGGTAAGAGAGGTAGACAGATATGTACTCAGTGTTAGAAGGGGATTGTTTTCCTTCATTGGAATGTACAACTAACAATATTCTAGAAGAAAATAGTAATCATAATGAATTTGATTTATTTTTTATTTTTTTTATTTTTTATTACAGCTTGATTCCACACACTGTATTTTCAGTGCATGTATGGAATTTGCAGCATGTGATATCGGTAGCCCAAATTTTTCATGCCGACCATAGATATCAGGTGTGCGTCGGCAGGGGATCGAACCTCAGACCATGTGCATGGTCGGTGAGAGCCTTAACCACTGTGCCACCGACGCATTGTATTTATCACATCTCATTGATATTTCACAGAATATTGCTTCTTACCCCTATCAATCTAGGGTGAACTAAACTTCTTTTTCCAGTGGAAATATTCCTGAATGGAAGTATTAAACACTTTCAGTGTCAATAATTGAAGGAGGACACTGATAAAATCACTTTAAATGACCGTTCTTTTCAATTAGTGGTTTGTAGGGATTATTTTTTGATTGGTTACAGGATTTCATAGTGAGCTAACATTGGTTAGAGAACCATTGGAAAACCTGCAGGGAGTACAATTAAGCTACTTGGACCCGATCCAGTGGCCCATGAATTTGCAGAAGTTAGAATTCCTGAGCCATTGGATCGAGTCCAAGTGGTTTAATGGTCTGCTCCTCGGTGGCCTCGTACTTGTAAGGTCTTGGACTCGACCCCGGTGGATGCGTATTACTGAAGAGTCACAAAATGGGACGAAACAGCTATCCAGTACTCCCTGCAGGTTTTCCAGTGGTTCTCTAACCAATGTCAGTTCATGATGAAATCTTTTAAGCCTACTTTGGGAATCACCGAAAGGCAAATACAGTGAATAGTATTGTAAACATCTAACTTTCTTTTAAAGATTTTCCTTTTTCGTTGTAAAGACAAATGTTTACGATAAAAGTAGTTAAATTTCTGAGGCTCATATATGCATTTGCTGATAAAACTGTTTTTAAGAATTTCTACTGACTGAACATATAATTTGAAACACTTTACCTTGCATGCTATTCTGGAACCCATGAATAATTATTTCATAGTTTCAATGTAGATTTCTTTAGAAACTGACATCAGCTGTACAAATTTTTAGAACAAAGAAGCTGTAGACAGGTGGTTCTTTGACATTTTGGACACTTCAGCAGTGCATACATAAGACTTCACCTAGAATCCAAACCACGAATTCCAACTTTTGTTGGTTCACGGGTCAGTGGATTCCAATCTAGTGAGTAAGTGAATGAAAAAGTTGTCATCTCATAACTTGACAATCCTGTTAAAACTAGCCACAAAGAACTACTAAAGAACTCCTAGCTAAGAAGTGACAGTTGTTCGCTGATTGTTTAATTAATATCCATCCATGACGAGATCAGTTTGGGGAATCATTCAAATATAGAATGTTTTGAAGACAAATTTTCAACAAAAAAACTACTCGTATAGGTAAGGTTAAATATTTGCCACAAATACTTTCGCCAATTCTGAAGGAGGTGAAACTCTTCGAATTTCAAAGATATACACAAGTACTCACCTGCAGTGGGCTTCAGAATTTTGATTTTCAAACATGCAATAATCGCATTTATGTACTGCATCTTGTTTTAGTAAATTAGCTAGCTCTCGAAGTTTATCAACAAATAATACATTTGGAAACTGTTGTATTACTTTCTCATCCACTTTGATTTCTGAATTTGTGCCTAAACTACTGCAATGTTGAATTGTTATGTATTTATCATCATTATTATTACTATCTGTTGTCGCATCAGCACCATTACTACCTTCAGGATTGTACTGTTTTCTTAGTTGAATACCGGCTGTACAACAGGCATCACATTTTATTATTGTACTCATGCTCTGATCATCACCGGGTGTGATTAACTCGGAAGCACAATTGTCGCAGGCTATGTGTAAACACGGTAGAAGCTATTGATGAAAGACAAGCAAGAATAAACAAAACGGAAGAAATGTTATACTACTGAGGGTCAAAAAAACTATCAATACCATAAATAAACATCAAACTGACAAGTTAAGAATACCATTTGAATCTATCTCTTCACGTATACTACTGAAATATATAAGTAGTTGGATATCATCTAAATGAATGTGATGGAAATATTGGACATTTGTTATACTCGTTGATAAAAATAAATATCTATGTACAAATTATTAAAATCTAGTCATTTAGCTTAGACGGACCTCTGAGATCACCAAGTGACAAAATTCAACTATTTCTATGTTAGATACTAAAAGACAATACTTTTACTGTAACATGAATTTCACAACAGAAGAATTCTTGACATCATAGTCAAGTAGACAAAGTAAAGCCGTCAACTGAGTCATAATGGATGGATTGGGTAAACTGTTAAACTATTCGGAAGTTAAAGTAATGTGTGTGTGAACATACATACATAGGGAGGAGTAATCGCGCTTTGCACGTGAGGGTGGGAGAGCATATCCCAAAATGGTTAGAAAAACAGATGAATTGTGACAAGCTAATAGATGCAGGTGGCAGACTACCAAATTCGTCTATAGCTAAACATCTAATCGAGATGAACCATAAGATTGATGTTAACTCAGCCTTTAAGGTCATCTATAAAAACGGTCAAGGGCGTTTACTGAAATACGCTGAGGCTATAGCTATTCATAGACTTAAGCCTCCCTTGTGTATTCAAAAACAGTTTGTCATTACTCGTAACCTACCTTGGTAACCCTTATTTGATTGGATTACCAAACGTTGTGTTAATTATTCTTAATTCCGTTTTCTCTCACTTTGTTTAATTTAACCTTTCTATATATATATTGAATTGACAAGTAAATGTGTGATCAGATTGTTCGAAATCTATAGCGCTAATACATCACATTTTTCAGATAGTCTCCGTCTTCTAATAACGCTAACAAAATTTATAAAAGGGACTAATTGTTTTAAAGTTAAAGTAATACCACGTCTATCAAAAATGAAATTTCTACTTGATTTAAAAGATACTGTTTTCCTCTTCGATCGGACACGAGCTTAGACGACTGTTGAGCGACATCTCGAGTCCAGGCAAAATAGCTCGAGTGGGGAACCCAGATGGGAAACGACAAATTGTGCATTAGGTGTGAGGGTGACATGAAGGAGGATGTGTGAGGAGGATAAGAGAGCTTATGGGAAATCGTGGAGCCAGCTAAAAGGAATTTGCAGAGAAAAGGATTAAATTGAGATGTGCTGTGGATAGTATATGTTCCACTTGGACCCAAAGAGGATAGCAATAAATTCTCCCTTTGAAGAAAATTCAGACATCTTTATAAGCTATACGATTGCATCTGTATTTTTTAAATCGTATAACAGTCAAGCTAGAAGTGACTTTCATAAACAGTAATATATTAGACATTACTTAATGGGATGACAGAAGTAATAAGATGCATTTACTAATTAGTAATTAAGTATAATTCAAAGACAATGAAGATGAAAAGAGAACAGCATATGGTAAGATGAAAATTGTTAGTAGATATTGGTTGTCTTTATCTGACATTTCTAAACAAGGCGAAGTAAGGGGAATAGTATAAGATAATAAAGAACTTGCTTAGGGTGATAATAGTAAGTTAATTATAGACTATAGGATTCAGCGAGTAAGAGGGAGTCAAAGAAAGGTAAACTGAGTGAACTGAGTGAACTTCTTTCTGTGTACAGATTTCGGATATATTCTGGTGAATTGCTTGCGTCACCGACCGGTATAATCTCGAGAATCTAATTTCTATTTTATCAGCCACCTTCACTTGTACATACTTTAGAGGATTCCAGTGGAACTACGAGATACTAAGTCGATTGGTGTTCTAAGAATTAACTTATTGAAGATTGTTTGTGGCACAGATAGGCGAACTATCAGATTCTCTGTCTATCCCATTTGAAGTATATGTAAACAATATATTCTCCAGTATTGTGAGCATTTTTTTCAGTCCTTTGTTCATCTTTTATGTTTTCCTGAATAAACCTTGAAGGTTATCTATTTTAACGGGTACCTGTCTGTTGTGCAATCTGTACACATCTCTCTAATTCTTAAAGATAAAAATTGTTTAGACTTCTTTTGCTATCACAAGGGATCCAGTTATTGAAACCTGGATGTTGGGCATTTTATGCTGACTTCTAGTAGATGCGTCGGTGGCACAGTGGTTAGGACTCTCGCCGACCATGCACATGGTCTGAGGTTCGATCCCCCGCCGACGCACACCTGATATCTATGGTCGGCTTGAAAAATTTCGGCTACCGATATCCATGCTGAAAATTCCACAATTGTACCAAAAATACAGTGTGTGGAATCAAGCTGTAATCAAAATAAAAATTTAAAAAAAATAAATTAATCTCTGAGGCAAATTATCTGGTATCCTTTGCTATGAAATATTCAAAAGATGGAGTTTTGAGTTGTTTTTTTCCTCACAGATTTCGATATCACACTGATCAAATGATGGCAACCATTGAACTCTCCTTGCAAGTGGATTGAAACATCAACGCTATTACCAATGAAGCCATACATAAAGCTAAAAGACTTTTGCTAGAAGCATTGATGAAAAAAGAGGTGACATGTAGAGATATCTTGCTTACTAATATCATTTATGGAATCAAAAAATTCAAAGAAATCTGACACACTGTGGTTATTATTATGATTTCTGATTAGTAGAAGACGATTCATGAGTCATTTGGCAATAATGTCATATGTTAAATTGTTCATACCAAAAATTATAGGCAAGGCTACGTTCTGTTTATGCACTTTGAGCGAATCATCTAGAAAGAGAATTCAGAATAAGAGGATTATGTTTCCTCAGATAATTTCAAGGTATTAGTCGTTTCACGCTTCATCTCCTTCAGAATTTGAGCAAGTGACTATTGCATCTGTTCAGTTTCATCTATCTAAATAAATTCTTCTCAGAATTTTTCTTTTCTTGTTCGATATTATGCATAGGAATTGATCAATGCAGCTTTGATGATGCATCAACACAATACCCATGAGTTTGTGCCTAATCCTTATTTTATAAGATATCACATATTTGCATTCCTACCTGTGGAATTCACTTCACACTCCCTGTATTAATGGTGTCATTCACCTCTCCTATTACTCAGTATTAGATGTTTGCGCTATACGTATATCACGAATCAGCAAACGTGTGAACTCATGAACCAGTGTATCGGGTTTTCAGTGACTGATTGGTCTAACAACTTGTCTTGTGACCGAAATGCCCTGGGTTTGAACTGCCGGAGATTCACAAACTAGGAGGAGGGGGGGCAGTCGGTTCAGTATTTCTTGGTTTTCTAATGATCCTCTAACTAGTGCTATTTCACGGTCGAATCTGTAGCCACTATAATGCCTGAAAGCCAACATTTGAAAAAAGAATTATATGTGTTTTTGAAAACATGAATACGACAGCACAGCTAATAACTTTGTTAGTAAATTTATTTTCTGAATTATCTTTCGTTTGTTCATAGATTTATCGTCAAGATAAGGTTATGACTTATTCATCCACCTCAAATCTATGCCCTTAAAAATATGGTTAATTATCTACATTCTTATCATATATATATGATCATCTTAACAATTTTTAGTGCCAATTAGTGCCTTTTTCCATAATATAGATACGCCTGTACAACTTGAAAATAAAGTTGTTGGGGGGAAATATTTCTTCGCTAAATAAAAACTGTTTATTTCCTTATCAATGAATAAATGGGTGTATTTCGTGATTATAAATATGAAGCAGATGCTTAAAGTACATTTCATTCTGCTCCTGATGACTACGTTTTTTTTAGTGAATGAACTCAATTAGGAGAAAAACCCAATGGTATTCATCGCAGTATACAAATTTCAATGCTAAACATTGTTTGATGTCTTAAAGTTATCTAAATGTTGAATCAATATCAGTTAAATGAACACTGAAATCGTAGCAGTAATGAACATGAGTTCCATAATTCTGACTGAATTAGTTTCAGCATAAAAATTAGCAAGGGAGATCAGAAATCCAATTTGCTACGTTTGTCATAGTGCACAAAGGTAGATAAAAGAAAAAGAGAGATTCAGAGAACTATAATATCTATCGACTTTACACTTGAGACTGAATCCTACGAAATGTTCCACTTCTTCGAAGTCCATCTGACAAGAAACGCCAAAAACTCTCTGAGAAGGTCCATATGCAAAAAGCCTACATGGAATGGACAATTCATCAAATTTCAAATCTTCGTGCCCCTAAGCAGAAAGAGGAACCTGATATACGCTCTTTCTTCGAGGATTCGGAAGATATGCAGCGAAGAAGTGGTTGAAGAAGAACTGCGTAAACTCCGGAAAACCTGATGGAAAACGATTTCCCACCAGGTTCATAGACAAGAATCTCAAATCTAAAAAGACTTCCGAACAAATCCAATCTAGAATTCAGAGGTGACATCGAAGCACAAATCCTTCGCAAACGCCTCTCCAAATCGCTGAGGAAAACATACTTCGCCGTGAACCTACGACTGACGTTTTCCTGAAAGAAACTGTTCAGCCAGAGCGCGAAAGACAAGCTGTCGCATTGGGCCGCCTCAAGGTGCGCATACCAGTTTACTTGCTTTTGTGGAGCGGAGTACATCGGCTGTAACATTAGCCGACTTGAAAAATGCGCTCGTGAACACTATCTAGCCTGGCTAGTAAAAGGGGACCAAAAACATGTATACAGTTCAGTGTTTTAAAGTTAAAGTAATACCACGTCTATCAAAAATGAAATTTCTACTTGATTTAAAAGATACTGTTTTCCTCTTCGATCGGACACGAGCTTAGACGACTGTTGAGCGACATCTCGAGTCCAGGCAAAATAGCTCGAGTGGGGAACCCAGATGGGAAACGACAAATTGTGCATTAGGTGTGAGGGTGACATGAAGGAGGATGTGTGAGGAGGATAAGAGAGCTTATGGGAAATCGTGGAGC